ACTTCACTTCGTGGCATGCGGACGACCGTGGCTACTATTCAGGGCCCCGCGGCCGACGACGACGGCGTGCGCGCGCGAAGAAAAAACGAATGTGTCCCGCATGGTATTATTTGACAGGGATGATGGCCCTGGCAGGTGCGCAACCGTTGTCGCAGAAGTTCGAAAAAGTTGCTCGCAAAAGCCCGTTTGACAGAAATGTTTAAAAAGTGTTGGGTTTCCTACGAATCCGCAAGAGCGCGCGGGATGAAATTTTGATATTTTTTTATAAAAAACATTGTTTTTTAAAAAAAAAAAAAATGTTTTTATGTTAAAATCGTTACGAACACCAAGGTTTTGGAAGGATTTCGTCTTGCGCGCGCGAATGTCCACTTTACCTTATTTTTTGCAAGGGATTCTTGAAGTTTGGTTATGTTAGAACAAGAAATGTCCACATTGCCTTATTTTTTGCAAGGGGAAACCGATCGTAACAACACAACCGGATCTGGATGACATCGTTTTGCCTGAGACTTCCTCACGAAAATGATGAAAATGAGGCTGCGGCCTAGGCGCAGCGGGGGGGCCATGCACCAGGGGCCCCAACAATAATTATTCTTTAGAAGTAATAATGTTCAACAACAACAACAGGGCAAGGATCGCAGGGGGCTCGGGCGTGGACGACGGCGGCCCCCCTTGGCGCTGGTCGCCCTCTGTTTGGAGCTCCTGGAGCACGAGAGCGAGGACAAGGGCGAGGAGGGCGAAGGGGGGCGGGGAGGACGACCAGGGCGAAGGAGGGCGAGGAGGGCGAGGGAGGGCGAGGAGGACGACGAGGGCGAGGAGGGCAAGGACGATGAGGACGACGGGGGCGAGGAGGGCAAGGGGAGGCCGCGAAGACACGCGCCGTGAGCCCGCAGGCCGCGAGGTGGGGGCGGGGGGGGGGGGGGAAGATCCCACGACGCGCACTGGCGAGCGTGCGCACGGTGACGGGGGAAACCTCCCGATCTCCCCGCAGGGCATGGGTGGCAGAGGCAGGGGGAAGGGGAAGACGCGAGGGTTCAAGAGCCCTCCGCGAAGCCCAGCGCAAGTCTTGTGCGACCCCCCCCCCCACCTCTGGCCGCCCCCCAGTTCCCAGCGCGCAGCAGCGCACATGGGCGGGGGGGCTGCTTGCCGCTCAGACTGGGCACCGAACGGCTGCCGAAACAAGCAGCGCGCCACGCAAGGAACGAAGCTCCTCTGGAGCGCCAGCAACGCTCTGGAGAGCCGGCAGCGCCTGCGTGCACAAGGAGGGCTGGGGGGAACCACGGAGTGGCCCGAGCAACATCGAGCCCCTTCCGAACTGGTTCTAATTTCCGCGTCTCGACAGCAGACATCTTCGACTGGAGTGGCCCCTGAGGAACATCGAGCCCCTTCCGAACCCACAGCGGTCCTTATTCCAGCTTCGTGGCAGCAGACATATGATGATGCTGCTGATGATGATGATGGTGATGATGACGATGATGATGATGATGATGATGACGATGACGATGATGATGATGATGATGATGATGATGATGATGATGATGATGATGATGATGATGATGATGATGATGATGATGATGATGATGATGATGATGATGGCATGAAGATATAATGGCAATGATGATGACGATGAGGAGGAGGAGGTTCAGGAGGAAGGAGGAGGGAGGCGGGAGGAGAAGGAGGAGGAGGAGGGGAAGACGAGGAGGAGAGGAGAGGAGGAGAGGAGGAGGAGGAGGAGAAGAGGAGGAGAGGAGAGGAGGAGGAGAGGAGGAGGAGGAGGAGGAGAGGAGGAGGACAGGTGCCCGGCGTGGCTCCACACCCGAGGGCGCCGACCCTCGCCCCATCGGGGGCGCGCCCCGCATCTCTGCGACGCCCGCGGCGTGCCACGGCGGAGAGCGGCTCGAAAGCGATCAGCACCAACGGTACAGTCGGGGCGTGGGCCTAAGGAACCCCAAATAAGGAACGAGGCCCCTGGTTTCCATAAGTTGAACTTCGGTTTCCTCTCGAAAACATAAGGAAAACCTGAGGCAAGCTGTGAAACACGTAAGGAACGCGGAGCCCCTCCCCAACCAAAAGGGTTCCTTCTTCAGGGCCCCGAATGTACTTCTTGATCGCGAGTGACGCGGAGCCAGCCGCGCACCGTCGAGAAGGTCGAAAGCAAGACACGAGCCGGGCAGCCACAGGTGGGACGCTGGAAGAGGGCAAGCACAAACGGAACGTGCACGGGCAAGGCTTTTTGTTCGAGCCTCAGACGCATGCGCCCTGTGCGAATCCAAGGCGGAGCCGAGTGCGAAGTGACGTCAGACTTGAGAACTGTGGCGCTTCGCGCGTTCCCTGACCTTCCCTTGCCCACCTCTTCAAACGCTGCGCTATCAACAACAAAAAAGACGTGCACGGGCAAGGAGCGGGGAATGGGCAACACACCTTTTCGCGTTGGCGGCTGGGTAGAGGGCGACTGCTCCAGCGGATGGGCAGCAAGGGACACGCTGCATGCAAATGTTTGGGCCGCAGTGCACGGAAGGAGAAGAAGCGAGAGTGGGAAACACACACGGTCTGGCGACGAGGATTTCGACGTTGTGGCACCGATGCCGAGAAGACAACGCAAGACAATGCATACACGAACCAGCCCCAACCAACCAACCACCAACCAGCCCCAACCAACCAGCGATGCGTGCACGGGCACGACGTGGGCGTGAGAACGGCAGACGTGGGAACTCATCAAGACGCACATGCTCGACCCACGGAGTGACTCAGCATTTCCGCAACTACTCCAAGCCTGTCCGCCGCGAAAGCTGCCAGAACTGCTCATGTGCAAAAGCTCTACTCTGTCTGCTCTGTCTCTCTCTCTTCTGCTCTTTGCCATCTACTCTTTACGCTCTACGATCTACGCTCTGCGCTCGTCGCTCTTCGCTATTCGCGCTTCGCTCCCATCTGTCGTCAAATTTCTCTCTCTCTCTCTGTCTCTCTGTCTCTCTTTCTCTCTCTCTCTCTCTCTCGCTCTCGCTTCCTGTCTCGTCCAGTTTGCTCTACATCGCCGCTACGAAAGTTGGAGGTTATGGGCGGCATCGTCATGTCGACTTTGAACTGAACGGGTTCCGACTTCTGTTGTGGATGACGTATTGGGCGGAATCGCGATTTCGCGTTCGAACCCGAAAAGTTCGACGTCTGTCGAAGTGACTTGTTCGAAAAAAACTCAAACGCAAGCGTCGTTTCGACTCGGGCAACCCGCTTGGCATATAAAACTGCCACTCGGTCACCCGAAAATCGACAGTGTGGTTGTCGCGTTGGGCTTCCTCGAAAAAGCGATTTCAACTTGATGTCGAAACCCGTTGGTTTGTCCGAAGTCGGAAAGACGATTCCGCCCAACACTTCTTCGACGAAAGGTGATCGACCGACGTCAAAACTACCTGGTCGAATTTCCAACCTGCGTGGATATTCCATCGCTACACGAAGCCACGAGACGCACTCTGGCAACATTGTACTGGGGCCCCGTCGCCAAACGGGCCCCTTTCAGAATGTCCTCCGTTGATAATACTGCACCTAAGCCCCGCCGCTGAACGGGAAGAGCTGAACGTTCGCCGAACTTTCGTAGCGGCAAAATATACGATCTGACATGTACTCTCGACCACATACTAACTACTCTATGGCTCTGACAGGGGTCGCAAATCAGTGTGAGGGGCTTGAACGGTCTTACACCATCCCTGGGTACGTGTCTGAAGTGGGCTTCCGCGGAAAGGATTATTATTTGGGGGTGTTTCGACCGCCCACTATGCCCAGCTGAGCAGGCAATCGCAGCAGCGCCGGCCCATGCACAGAGAGTGCGGTCACTTTCAGTGCAGCGCGAGGACAAACAAGGACAGCGCGAACACGTGGACAGCAGCAAAAAAAACAGAAGAAGCAGCAGCAGCAGCAACAGCAGGGGGAAGCGAGGCAGAGGAACAGCCGGCCAAGTGAAACGCTGAAGCAGTATTGAGACGCGTGGGTCGCCTGCCCCGTAGGAGAGACCGGCTGCATCCAAAGGTCACCCAAGTCACCAAAACTAGCCCAGCAAACTATCCAAAATTAGCGGGGGCCCGAGAACGAAGCAGGGAAGGCAGAAGACAGAGAGAAGAGGAGGCAGCGGAGAGTAAAAGCGACGCGGGGGCGGTGGGGGCTGTTGCTGTTTATGGTGTGTGTTGGGTGCTACGTGATGTGCATTGCTGTTGTTTGTAACAGATCGTTTGGTGTTGCCGTCGTCCTTGCCGTTGATCCCTCCGCGACCCGCCGCGACCCGCGCGCGACCCACACGCGACCCGCCCGCGACCTGCCCGCGACCTGCGCGCGACCCGCCCTTTGCCTTGACGCAATATCGGCGCCTGCGGTGGGCTCGCTGTGCAATGGGCAAGATATCGGGCGCCCGCCGCGGGCTTCCTGTGAGCCTCGCAGACTGCCGACCCCGCCACCCCCTCACTCTTATCCGCAGCTGCGGGGGCCATGGTACTCTATTCTCTGTCTCTCTCTCTCTCTCTCTCTTCCTCCTTCTCTCTCTCTCTCACTCTCCCTCTCTCTACACGGTCTCTCCATCTCTTTCTCTCTGTGTCTCTCTTGTTTTCTTTGTTATGAGTCTCCGTACCTTATCCACCCACTTACTATATGCAACTCTGTCCTCAACACGCTAACATGTATTCTGTGCTCTAAACTCCGCTTTCTAAAAGTGGAAACCCCGAAACGGGAACCGGAAGCCTGGAAACCTGACCGTCCACCGAAATCGGCCCAGAACCTGGAACCCGATTGCCAGGCCTCCCATCGAAATCGGCCCGGCACTTTCGCCGGAACCCACAGCCTCATCGTCCTCCTCCTACTCCTCCTCCTCCTCCTCCTCCTCCTCCTCCTCCTCCTCCTCCTCCGCCTCCTCACCCTCATCATCGCCTCCTCCTTCTCCTTCTTCTTCTCCTCCTTCTCCTCCTCCATCCCTCCTTCTCTTCCCATTGCTTCTGAAGTGCAGGGACGAGGCTGCGGCAGCGAACCCAGCCAGGCAGTCCCTTCACGTAGAGGTTGTCGGACGGCGGCGGGTTGTCGCCCTTGCCCTGGTACTTCACGACCATGGGCTGGAGCGGGGTAGACAATGGTCCGAGGACGAGTAGGAGTGGGAGGCGAAAAGGAAGGGGGAGGAGGAAGAGCAGGAGGAGCGAGGAGGGAGGAGGAGAGGGCGAGGCTCGCAAGCCCGCAGAAGTTTGTCGAAGGACCAACAAACTCTGGACACGAATCTATGCACCCCCTCCCCCGCCACACCCCCCGCCCCACACTGTGGCAGGACATCAGAGAGAGGCGACAGCCACTGGAATTTCAAGCCGGATCGATCCGTGAGGGCCCCAGGGCCCGCAACGGGGCGAAGACGCCAGGTGCAAAAGATTGCAGCGCTCGGATCTCCTGGAAAAGGCGCCCGAGCGAAGAGGAGTGAGAAGGAGCGAAGGGTTGAGCAGTCGTAGTGGGCCTGACGCAGATGGGTCTGCGGGAAGAGGTGCCATGGCGCTTGCGCAGCAGTTGGTGCCTGGATGCAATGTCTTGCGCAGTGGATGCAGCAGCTACGCGTGCATGCAGTTGCACAGCCCTTCTCGCACGCAGGTAGCTGTTGCCCGTGCACCAGTTCGTGCCCCCCTGCAGCAGCTGCGTACTAAAGTCGAATTTGATTGGGGAGGACACGCGAGAGGACTCAAGCCACTTCCGCGGGCCACATTGCCATGGGAATGCAGAAGGCATGGGTCGCGAAACACAGGAAACGAGGGTACCCTTGATTTGGCAGGGTCGGCCTACGAATCAAATTCGACTGCAGTGCACGCAATACCACACAATCAGTGAACGATTGCACCTGTCACCGCCAACTGCACCAAATCCACTACAGCCGAAAAGAAGATCAAGAAAATTAGTATCTAAGAAATCTGGGCCAGTTTCCCGGAAGATCCCCGAAAGTGAACCTGGGCCAAGATCTGTTGCTCATGCTGCAGAGACGAGCCTGCTCAAGAGACTGGGCCAGCTTTGCGGCAGGTTGGTTCAGAAACGCTGGTCCAGCTTTTCGGGAGGAGGTTTATGAATCAAGGTAGCTACCCTGATACGAAACGCGCAACACGTAGCGTATTGTTGACACGGAGCCCAACACGTAGACTGAAAACGTAGGTATGGTGCGATACGTTCGCCCAAACTTGGACCAACACGCGCCGAGCCAACACGCACCGTGTTCAGGACGGACGTTCTGAACACGGCACGTGTTGCGTTTCATGACGGGCGTGTTAGGGCAGCTAAGCTAATCAGATGCTCGACTGCACTCCAACTTCAAAAAAGGCAGAAAGGCCCCGCGGCCTTGAGCAGCGGCTCCGCCTTCGCCTCCCCCGCGGTGCCGTGCTTCTCGCCGTCCCGAGCCGCGCCCGCCGCGGGGTCGCGGAACGCCTCCTCGGCGGAAGACCCTCCTCCTCCTCTTCCTCCTCCTCATCATCCTCCTCCTCCTCTTTCTCCTCCTCCGTCTCCTCCTTCTCCTCCTCCTCCTTCCTCCTCCCTCCTCCCTCCTCCGTCCTCCCTCCCTCCCTCCCTCCTCCCTCCTCCTCCCTCCTCCTTTTCCTCCTCCTCCTCCTCCTCCTCCCTCCTCCTCCTCCTCTATTCCTCCTCCTCCTCCTCCACCTCCTCCTTCTCCTCCTCCACCTTCCTCCCTCCTCCCTCCTCGCTCCTCCCTCCTCCCTCCTCCCTCTTCCCTCCTCCCTCCCCCCTCCTCTCTCCTCGAAGCGGACTCCAAGAAGCCTCTTGTTGGCCTGGCAGGGGTGGAGCCTGGCGCGCGCGGCACCAAGCTCGCAGTGGACGCCCGCGGCGAAACGGAGGCAGCGGAGGCACCGCGACGGTGGCCGCGGCAAGAAGCGCACCCCAGGCTCTAGCAAGCCGCAGCCCTTGACTGAAGTAATGACCCACACATGTTTTGAACTCGAGGTGAAAAATACCAACCACGCGGATCACATAGCATCGCCCCGCCAATCTCGGCACGCCCCTCACACGGATCGCGCGGGGGCGCCTTGCAACACCCATCTACTCAACAGCCTCCCTCTCCAACGCAACACTCATGTGCTCCGCAGCTTCCGCTGCAAGAGATGCTTCTTAGGAGGTCTTATGTATATACATATAGAGAGATACATATACATACATAATACATATACTAGAACCACGCGTGCTTCACGCGCGCTTAGGTTCTAGTCAGCCCCAGCCCTAAGCGAGTTCACATAACCACTAAAGTAGTTACCTATACATGGGTGGATCATGGGCTACCGCATCTATAACGCGGGCAGAACGGATACGAATTGCCGACAAGGGCCTTTCCATTATATCAAATGCGAAGATATGCACACCAGTGACAGCAATGATGGCCAAAACGGCAGCGCAGTGCAATGCATTGGAATGGAATCAAATCATATACGGGTCGAATGCGGCCCGAAGCGTTACAAGCAAAATGTATCAGAACACATGCACAGCAATACAATGGCATGCAACGCAAGGCAAAGCAAAGCAACGTAGAGCAATGCTCGCCAGTGGAATGTGGATCACGCAGCAATGCAAGTGCACATGCAACGGGAAGCAACCCAACGTAGCACAATGTAACATAATGCAAAATCGTGCAGACGACCGAACCTGATTCCAGGAACTCAGGTATCCCAGGGACGAGCCGCCCTAGAAAAAGGCCAAGAGCACCCCAAGGGGAGCCCAAGACAGGGCCAAAGGGCACCCAAGAACAGTGAATGAGGTGTCCATGAGAGGCTCCAAGGGCCTCCAAGGGGGGCCCAAGCGGGGCACAGGAGGGACCCAAGAGGCGCCCCAAGAAAGCCAGGCGATGGCGTCAGAACGAGAGGACCCTAAGCAACGCCCCCTCAGCCCGAAATGCAAGACGTGAGGGCTCACGAGCAGCCCCAAGAGTGGCGTCAAGGGTGCCGCACGGAAATCCCGAAGCAGACTCCAAGAAGCCTCTTGTTGGCCTGGCAGGGGTGGAGCCTGGCGCGCGCGGCACCAAGCTCGCACTGGACGCCCGCGGCGAAACGGAGGCAGCGGAGGCACCGCGACGGTGGCGGCGACATAGCATCGCCCCGCCAATCTCGGCACGCCCCTCACACGGATCGCGCGGGGGTGCCTTGGGACACTGTGGCTTCAACATTGAACCTCCCCAGGACCCAACCTTGACCGCTCCCCCAAGCTAGCGCGACGCTGAGCGCCCGTGAAGGAGAAGCAAACCCGACCAGACTGCAGGGTGGCGTGCTGTCCGCTCGCGGCTCGTACTGCCACCGTGCCTGGGTTGTGGGTCAGAGGCTTCTTGGATGCCCGTTGGGGTCTCCTGGCATGATTCTCGGGCGACTCTGGGAGCCAGTCTTGGAGCCTCTTGGGGCCTCTTGAGGGCTGTTTGGGGGCCTCTTGAAGCCTCTTTCGGGCCTCTTGGGAGCCTGCTGGCGGTCTGGGAAGTCAATTTGGGCTGGAGGGCTCGACATGTGAGCTGGAGTTCCCTTTCTTTGGCCCCTCGTGGGGCCATCTTGGGCCGTCCTGGGCGCCTCTTCGACCGTCTTGGGGCTCTTTTGGGCCGTCTTGGAGCTCTCCTTGGGGCATTTTGAGCTGTCTTAGGGTGATCTTCGTGGCCTATTGAGCCGTCCTGGGCGCTGTGATGACCTGGTAACCAAATATGCTGAATATGCAAACTTACCAATGGGAATGGGTAAGTTTTGGCCATCCGGGGCCCTCTTGGGGAGCATCTTAGAGCCTTCCTGGGGCGTCTCGGAGGCCTCTTGGAATCTCTTCGGCCAGCTTGAAGCCATCTCGGGGCGTCTTGGGCCGTATTGCGCCGCTTTCGTCACCTATTCGTGCCCCCATGGAAGCTTGGTTAAGTGAGATACGCGTGCACTCAACGGAGGGAGAGGAGGAGAGGAGGGGACGAGAGAGGGACCAGGACAGGGCGATGGTATTTTCATGGCAGCGTGGCGACGCGCATCTCCACCTTGGCGTGGGCCCTGACGGCCCACGCCCGACGCGAGCGCGTGGGCCCTGACGGCCCGCGCGCTCGCGCTCTGGCACGCCTGCGGCCGCTTGGCCCGCGCAGGCGTCTGGGAGCAAAGCGGGGTGGGTGGGCACCCGCGCGTCGGCCAGAGCCGAACGCTACGGACCCAAAATGGCTACCTGAGCCCACACCCCCTCCCACTTAACCTGCAGTCTACAACCAATCAGACTATACAAGTTAAGTGAGATACGCGTGCACTCAACGGAGGGAGAGGAGGAGAGGAGGGGACGAGAGAGGGACCAGGACAGGGCGATGGCATTTTCATGGCAGCGTGGCGACGCGCATCTCCACCTGGGCGTGGGCCCTGACGGCCCACGCCCGACGCGAGCGCGTGGGCCCTGACGGCCCGCGCGCTCGCGCTCTGGCACGCCTGCGGCCGCTTGGCCATGAGAAAAGAGAAAGCGCAGCCGCGCGCGCGGGGGCGCCCAGCCCGAAGTGCGAGGGCGGATCCTGAGGCTGCAAGAGCCTCGCGCGCGCGGCCACTTGCCTGCAACCTTGAGGCCTTCCGCGCCCCGCGCACCCAGAGCGCGGGCGCGGCGCGTGCGCGAAGCGCGCAAAAGAACCGAAAAGAGCGGCGCATGATGCGCCGGGCGCAGAGCGCAAGTGTGGCCCCGACCGCACGGCGCGCAGGACGCGTGGCGCGGCCGGGTCCAGGAAGCGCGCGACGTGCGCGCAACGTCCAAACCCCTCAGAAAGAGGATCGCAGGCGCCACCTGCGTACCGTAGGCTAAAAGAAAGAGGATCGCAGGCGCCACCTGCGCACCGTAGGCTGAAAGGATCGCAGGCGCCACCTGCGCACGGTAGGCTGAGAGGAAAGCCGGCTCACTCACAGGCCGCCGCCTTCAGCCCGCAGCCCGCGATGCCGCGGGCGCTGGCGTCGGGATATGGGGAGCTCCACGCCTAGATGGATGGCGTGTTCCCCTGGCGATCGCGGCTCTCGTCTCCGCTGCGGTCTCCGCCGCGCTCACTGTGGTCCCGGGGGCTGCCGCCATCGCCGCCCCTCGACGCGCGACCGCCCGCGCTGGGCCGGTCACGCTCACTCCGGCCGCGGCTGCCCTGGTCGCCCTTGGAGTGGCCGCCATTGCCGCTCTTGTCGCCCTTGCCGCCGCTCTTGGTGCCCTTGGCGGCCTTGCCGGAGTACTTGCCCTTGACCTTGCCGCCCTTGCCGCCCTTGTCGCCCGCGCCCTTGCCACGCCAGGCTGGGATCCCACCCCCGCCCGCGGCAGCCTCCGCAGCGGCAGCACGCCGCCGCTTTTTCTCCTGCTCGTACCAGCCGCCGCGAGGTGCGCGAAGCTGCCCAGCGTGCTTCCCGGTCTTACGCCGCGCGCGGCCGGGAGGGGTGTCGCCGCGCCGCGCCCACGCTGGGTCCCGCGCCAGACTGCGGCTGGGCGACCTCTCGCGCTTGGGCCGGTTGCGGCTGGGCGACCTCTCACGCTTGGGCCAGCTGAGGTCGCCTGGCGGGCGGTCCCCCTCAGCCCCCGCACCCGTGGCACCCGTGCTGGGGCGCTCTCCGTGGCCGGCACTGGGGCCCGGCGCCTCCCGCACGGTGTGGCCGCTCTGCCGGGCCTTCTCCACCACCGTCTTGGGTTTGCCGAAGGCGACGCGGCAAGCCTCGCAGTAGCTCACGTCGCACCCCTTACAGTGCCACCGCAGGGCTCCGCTGTTAGCTCCGCCCGCGGGGCACATTCGCAACCCCAACCGTCTCCCGGGTCAAAGGAGCTCCAGCGCATCTTGAGAGCGCACGTCGGGCAGGCAGGCGGCTGGATGGTCGGGCCATCCTCCCCGTCGCTGCCTGGGTCAGGGCCGCGAGGTCGACTCGCCCACTCCGTGACCACTGTGCACGGGTCCGTCTTGTAGAACCGATAGTTCGACCTCATGCACTCCCGCGCGCGCTTTGCATCAGCGCGGCGCTGGAACTCCACGAGCACACACGGCTCCCGCTTGTGGCGGTGGTCGTACAGGAAGGCGATGTGTTTGACGACCCCAAAGGGCACGACCACCTGCCTGACCACCTCGGCGTCGACGTGGTGCGGTACCCGCTCGATGCGGATGATGGACTCGCCCTCGTCGTGCTGGTCACTGGGCTGCTGCTGGGCGCCCTGGCGCTGCTCCTCTTTGCGCCTACGGCGGCTCCTCGAGCGCGGCTGGCGCTGGGGCGGACCGCCCCCCGCGCCTGGCGCCGCCGTCTCCTCCACCTCAGTCTTCACCTCGAAGGACCGCGGCGGCGCCCCCCCGCTCTTGGGCTTCAGGACGGCCTCACGCTTCACGATGTCGGCCTTCGGGGGGGCGCCGCCCGTCTTGGGCTTCAAGACGGCCTCCTCCCCCCGTCCCCTGCGCCCGCGATCGCGAGGCTCATCGCGCTCGCGATCGCGGCGCC